CCAGGGAGCCACATTGTCTCCAACCCTTTTTTTATTGTATGCCAACGACTTATTGGGCAAAAAAGAATACAATATATAGCTTTGCTGACGACAGCACACTTGTCTCGTCATTCCATTTGGATTCCAGGACATCGGCTGCGGATGCACATCTTTACTGGTAGCAGGATGTTGTATATCTCAATGAGGATCTAGAGATGATTTCAAATGGGGGTGAAAGTAACCAAGTTCAATTCAATGCAACGAAAACCCAGGCATGAAGGCAGAAAACTGTACACACACCTCAACAATTTTTGATGCTTTATATAGCTCAGATCTGACCTTCTTTAGATTATTATTGTCATGTATGGAGCTCTGCCACAAACATACCCTGAAGTTGCTGGATTCCATCCATAAAAGAGCCATCCGCCTGATTGGAGACGGGAACATCACGAGCGACCTTGATAGCCTGGAACATCGAAGGAAGGTTGGTAATTTATCTCTCTTCTATAGATACTTTCACCAGAAGTGTTCAAGTAACTTGGCACATTCAATTCCACCAAGAGCGGTACATATCAGAAATACGCGACGGACTGGGGCTGCTCATCATTTCGAAGTTCAATTCAAGTGTCTACGAACGATTCTTCACAGTCTGATATCGTAGACATGACTAAAATATTTCCAAGAGGCATAAAAATAATATACGAGATTCATCGAAATTATTTATTCAAGCAATAATAACATTTATTTTGTGAGCTGACATACCCATAACACTGTACTATGGTGGCGTTGGGAGCACATTCTCTTGTGCAATGCAAATGTTATGCAAATCGATATCGGTATTCTTCAGATGATTTATGTCATACATCCAATAATTTCTAAGATCCTGCATGTTGTATTGAATATTCTATGAAACTGTCCATGATAATAATCACACAATTTTCACGAACATTTCTATTTATAAACGCGTTCCGCTTACATCGTAGCTTCTTTGCTTTTCTTTCATGATATTTTTTTTTCACCAAGGAAGCTACAGTGTTAGCGAAACACGTCTAGAAATGGAAATGTTTGTGAAAATTGTGTATGTGTTATTAATTTTCATCAAGTAACGGGTCAGTCCATTCATAATTCTATGGAAACATCTTTCAATTCCGCTTTGGTCAAGAGTCGTAGATAAGACATGATGTGACAGAAATCGTAAGCAAGATGTCCGCAACTTGACTGATTATAATTCTGCCAAAATATTGTACCTGTTCTTTGGGAGCGCTTCAGAATTCCAAAACTAACAAAATAGATTGCAGTGTTGCCACATTCACTGACTGTTACCCAATGTGTTCCAGGATTTATTTCAGAGCCCAAGTTGAGTACGGGACGTTCATTTTCTCGTGGATCTCTGATGGTAGCGTGCCATGCATAAATACTCCTCGAAAATGCGGTACTTTTGCATATAAGGCATACTGATGAGTCTCCGAGTCATTCAGCGCTCTCTTGGGTAGCTTCCCGAAAGTTTTTGATGCGATCTATGCTGCATTTTCAAAAACAATTCATAGCGTCGATGTGTTTTTCGCAGATACAGACCGGATCTCAAGTGCTCCATAGCCTTGTTGTGTAGATGATCTTCCAATTTCGAATCTGTTAGATATCGGATCATGTATAAAAACAAAGGTTTTTATTGTACATTTTTTTACATGAGCTACCGACTCATGGGAAACGGAGTTCAGTTGTTGTTTGGTTTTTGAATTAGGAATATATGTGTAGTTGTGAGCCGGAAGCGTTTTATTTCATTCTAATATATAACAATTGGCGACGAGGATGGGATATAAGAAATTCCACGTAAATTAAGTGTGGCAAAGTGAGAGTGAAAACATCGAACAGAAAAGAAATGGCAACAGTACTTTTTGGTTCTCTCGCTGTATTTGATCACAAAAATTCAGACTTTTCTGTGTTTAACGAACGATTGAA